CATTAGCACCTCTAGTAATATATTTACTGAGAAAAATGTTGACGTGTTCAAAACTTATTTTGCCCGCTGTAAATATTTTTTTTTCTCTTAAATGCTAATGCAAGGCGATGCCTTCATAAAACATCAGTTTCGCATCTCACTGACTGATGAACATGTTTATYGTAAAAACGAGACGGAGAACCTCATTTCCCTTAAGTTTTCCGTGTGCTTAACTGCACTGCATCACTTTTTTGCCAACAACAAATAAAGTTTAAAAAAGGACGTGGAAACTAGCTCAAGTTATAAACTYCAGGTGCACATAATAAATTAATTTTGTTATAAACATTAATATTGCACWGAAGAAGCATATTTGAATGAGAATTCTGCATCATAATCAGAGAAGAGTTTAGATGCATTGATACAATATAAAAATACATTGTGGAAAAAAACTTTTGTGCTTCAGTCTTTTAGATAGGGTAAGTGTAAAAGGAAAGAGATGAGATGGCTTTAGAAGGTTTGATCATCATTGCAGGACTCTGTGGCATGTCCGAAAGTCTCACAGATGTCGCAGTAGGGCCTCTCAGCAGCTGGGTTCCCATGGTACGTGGTGTGTGGTACAGAATCAGGACTCTGAGCCTGAGTGGGACAGTCCTCGGTGTCGTGGAGGTCAAAGCAGTCACAAATGTCACAGAACAGACGTGGAGTGGCATTCTTTTCACGCTTTGATTTGCCTTCATCAAATCTATGAGGAACAAGGAAACAAGAACAATTAGATCAATTGAATAACCCATTAACAGATTTAAATCCCATGCCTTACAGAAATGTAAAAACATCCATAATAAATAAGTTCAGCTTCAGTCACTGTTCATCAAGAGAAACTCCAACAGACTTCCTGTCCCTGTCGCCTGGCTCCACAACTACCTCAAAGATTTCCAATTGAAATATCAGTTAYTTTGTCTGATTTTTATTCTTAAAAACAAATATATTCTCTAAAATAATTCATGGTCCAAGAGGCTCAAATGTGGAAACTTGAAGAACACCCTATTTTTATGGGAGACCAACATTATGTGACACTGACATCCGATGGAAAGATAGAAAAGGAACAGGTCAGTCCCAGATCAGTCTGCTCCTGTTGGCCACAAAACTGGACTGTACCAGACCCAGATCCCACTTCAAAATGGGCCCAATGTTTCCCCGTGGGGGTCAACCTGTGTTCACTAGAAGTATCTAGTGAACACAGGTTGACCCCCAGGTAGTAACCTGACACAGCCTGTAGCCAGCCTGGAAGAAATGGGGCTATAAATCCTGAAACTTTCAGTTTCAGCCAATGAGAGAAGAGCATATTGAAGAAGATAATATGTTGGGAAAGGAGAAATGTAGAGACTAAAGGGAAGTGATTCACTGTGCCTTTGTGTGTTCTTAAAGTGTTGTTGTAGGGCTGACTGCTGACCTTTTGGAAATGGCTGATGGGAGGAGAAAATACTGGCTGATTCCAATCTGGTGTTAAACACTGGTCAAAACGGTCAGACCACAGATTAGTTAACAAATGTGTACGTCCATTTTCTGCCACTTATCCGGGATCGGGTCGCGAGGGCAGCAGTCTAAGCAGGGACCCCGAGTTATTTAAACTCCTCCATTTGGGGCAGGACCTCCTCCCCGACCTGAAGAAGGCAACCTACCCTTTTCTGGCTCAAGACCATGGTCTCGGATTTGGAGGCACTGATCCTCATCCCGGCCACTTCACACTCGGCTGTGAACRGCTCCAGTGAAAGCTGGAGATCACGATCWGATGAAGCCAATAGGACCATACATCCTCAAAAAGCAGCGATGCGATCCTAAGGTCACTAAAACGGATCCCCTCAACACCTCGGCTGCGCCTAGAAATTCTGTCCATACAAGTTATGAACAGAATCGACGAGAAAGGGCAACCTACGTCATCGTTCTCTTCACACGAAGATCCATAAAAGAAGAAGTCTGGAGGAAAACCAAAAAATCCACTTACTGCAGAGAACAAGGAATAAAGTTCCAATCTCTCAATCTCACACACCAGCTCAGGCTCCTTCCCAACCAGAGAGGTGACATTCCATGTTCCTAGAGCCAGCTTATGTAGCCGAGGATCGGACCGCCAACGTCCTTCCTTCGACTGCTGCCCAACACACATTGCACCTGACCCCTTTGGCCCCTCCCCGGTGACCTGCGTCCAGGCAAGGGAACACTGAATCCATCGTTGTGACTCGTCTTTYGGCTGCGCTTTGTCTGATCCCTCACCTAGAAACCTGTTTGTCTTGGGTGACCCTACCGGGGGCATGAAACCCCTAACAACATGGCTCCTAGGATCACTGGGACACTCAAACCTCTACACCACGATAAGGTGGCAGCCCAGGGAGAAATCATCATCAGTATTTTTCTATACTTTTTGTGACAGCAATCAAACTAAAGTTAATATTTGTCTTTATTGTCTTGCTTTTCAAGTGTTTATTGTTTTTGAGTTGTTATATCAAAACAACACCTAAAGGCAACTAAATAAAAACACTGACTTCCTGTATTTCCTTGTGATTTATTTGAACTGTAATTGTATCTGTGGCTTAAAAGTAACTTTTTGCTGTTCTTGCATGTTCTATTACTATAGAATCTTGCAAAGTTTAAGTTTGTTGGTTGAACAAAACAAGAAATTGAAGGTTTCTACAGCTCTAGCAGGAACCTGGTGAAAATTCTGGGTGCAGCCTGTAAATGTTCATGGGACCAGCTGATGGGCAGGGCCGTAAATTGGGGGYGGGGGGGGGGCAATGCCCCCCTGGCCCCACCATTCCGGCGCCAGTGCATTAAACTGTCATATTTATGTAATAAACACATTTTCAGTTAACTTAAACACTTTTTAATATTTTTCTTATTCAAAATCGCCGAATTTCTTCATATCCTGTTCAAATACAGGYCAAGACGGAGTATGAGGAAAAATCAAGCTCCGCCTCCAGATTGCYCAATCGTTTCAACCCCGTTCTACCTCCACTTGGATTGTGCAATCCCTCCTGCATGTTATGTAGTGAGAGCAGAAAATGTCTCTATATGTCACCAGTAAAATGTTTCTGATTTTTTTAATATACACCTGACATTCCACGTTTAGCTGATGTTTATTCTATAAACATGTATTTGTGTAACGTGTTCTGTGAGCTGAAATGGCTGAGAAAAGACTCGAAGGGAGGTAAATCTTTTTCAGGCTCAAGGAACAGCAGGGTGCACTCATGAACTCAAGAGAATGCATGAGCTGCAGCAGAGGTTAGCTGCAGAATAGGAACAAAAAGTTACAGTTAGCAAGCCAAGTAGTGTTTTTGGTACCTGTTTTGTAAAGTTTCAGTTTATAAAGTTAYAAAAGTAAAGTACAGCAGAGATCCATTTGTTTTCTCTCTTTTAAACCTGATTTTTAGATTGGAGGATTATATATTTTAAAGCTTAAACTATTTTATAAACTGAACTTGGAAGCAGCAGGTAAATAAGAGCCACACCACAGCTGAGATAGCCTGGCCCTTGACTTTCTACGCAGCTCCGCTCAATTCTAGTTTCCCTTCACTGCTCCGTCTGGGACTTCTCCCGCTGAGATGGATTTCGCTGGCAGATTTTTAGCCGGGCCAATCAGAGAACAGAACGTCAATTTTCTGCGCAGTGTCTGCTTGTAGTTTATTTTACCTGGGCCAATCAGAGAACAGAACGTCAATTTTCTGCGCAGTGTCTGCTTGTAGTTTATTTTACCTGGGCCAATCAGAGAACAGAAGGAGGAGTTTTGAATGACGTCGATGTTCTGCACAGTGTCTGCTAGTTATTTTAGCATACGGC